CATATACTATAAGCTAATGGCTACAATATGGATGAGACCGAGTCATGATGACTGATGTTGTTGTCGAGATTTGAACCCACAAAAAAAACTCACTCTGCTGATTGATCAATTTTGAAACCCATTGTGGTTTTAAGTACATTGAAAAAAACACATATCTCGATTCTAGAGCAATAATATGGAAGAAGTAATGATACAAGCTCCACATTTTTTACTTTTTCTATCGAGTGAGAGCATCGCGACAAAAAAAACTGACAATATTTTTGGGACTAGATCAATGTTTGACAATTTCTAATCACTTCATACTCCATTGTTGTTGTTGTTGTTGTTTTTTCTGAAAATTTTGACTCGACGAAAAATTTAGATTGTAATTTAGATTAGTTTTCTATCTCCAAAAACTGTATGGAGCCCATTGCTCTACAGACACTGATGATTGACATCCAAGATAGAGGTCAGACACTTAAGTGGCACTATCATTTCATTTTGGAAGCGGAAACTTGTTGAAATTCTTGAATTAGCCCACCACTGACAAAGAGTCATTTTTCACTATTGCAGAAGCTTGAACATAGGGGCATAACACGCTGAAATGACAGCAAGTGGTAATTTTTCTTAATTGTCACTGTTTTAACGGGTGTTTTGTTGTGCTACAACTGGCTGGGATGTTTCGCACGAGATAGAATTGTTTTACTTAATTTCTGATAGGATAATTTTCAATTCGGAAGTCAATGTCTTAAGACCACTGTTAGCTTGAAAATCGAAAGTTTCTCTATATATGGTGAAAGAGTTTCATACGAATGCGTTCTTTTGGATATGAGAATGTGCATCGATCCCGCTAATTACATATCTGCTCAAGATCTTGTGGTTGTGCGGGCATAATTACTTTCACAGTTTATTTCTTCGATTACGAAAAATATGAATCAATATTATCTGAAATTTGAGCAGGATTGTGAAGTAACATATCGATCAATCTTTTTCTCATAAGAATCATGGATAGATCGTACGTGCAAATTATATGACTCACACATTGATGCTTCTTTTTAGGTTGGTTATATACAGGCAACATGAATACTGGACGATCTGTTCATGTGTCATCCATATTAACTACTGAAATGGTTTTAATTAATGGTGGCTTTGTGGATGGCGATTCAGATATTCTTACAGAACTGTATGATCCATCCACAGGAAGTTGGACGACCACTGGTAACATGATTAGTGCGCGGTACTATCACACAGCTTCTGTATTAACAGATGGGAAAGTGCTAGTTGCTGGCGGAGGAGATCGTAGGGATCCATTAGCGAGTGCAGAATTGTATGATCCATCAACAGGATCCTGGACAAATACTGGAAATATGAGTACGAAACGATCGTCGCACACCGCATCCACATTAGCAAATGGGAACATACTAATTGCTGGCGGGATAAATGGAGATTCTCTTGTAACGAGTGAATTATACAATCCGTCAACGGGATTATGGACAAACACCAGCAGCATGAATGATGCACGAGCATTTCACACTGCATCCGTATTAACAGATGGAAAAGTGTTAGTGGTTGGTGGAGATGAAGAAGTTGGCCGTCGTCGCCTTTCAAGTGCAGAATTATACGATCCATCAACAAGATTATGGACAAAGACTGGCAGCATGAACAATCCACGAACTGGTCACACTGCATCTGTATTAACAAATGGAACAGTGTTAGTTGCTGGTGGATTTGGTGATGGTGAACTTTCTAGTGCAGAATTATACGATCCATTAACAGGGTCATGGACAAACACTGGCAGCATGAATGATGCACGAGATCTTCACACTGCATCCGTATTAACAAATGGAAAAGTGTTAGTGGTTGGTGGAGTTAATGGAGGCCATAGTCGTATACTTTTTAGTGCAGAATTATACGATCCCCTAACAGGCTTATGGACAAAAATCAGAAGTCTGAATATTGCAAGACGCTTTCACACTGCATCTGTGTTAACAAATGGAAATGTTTTAGTGGTTGGTGGACTCAATTTCTCCGATTCTTCGAATAGTGCGGAACTCTATGATCCATCAATAGACGGTTGTACAGATGTTACCAACAAAACTACTAAACACGTGAAGAATACGACATCGATATTAAAAAATGATAATGTTTTATTTCCTGGTGATCGAAATTATTTTGATTTGAATAATACAGAACTATTTTCATGAACATTATTACATTGGTATGGTTTTCATTTGACTAAAACTTTCAATCAATTTCTCATTCTCATTAGAACTATTTGCTCTACTC